CTATCACCCAGGTGGTCGAGGACCTGGAGGCCTCTTACCAAGTCGTTGCCTGTGGCCAGGACCAGGTCCAACAGGGCATTTCTTTTTCATAAGAGTTCATTCTCCCCAGAATATACAGAATTGAGCATTAATTGTGCAGATTAGATTCCATGTTTCTTCAAATGCCTGCAGTGTAGGATGAGACGATTGCAAGTAGGTTTAGGTACTGCTGGACTTTTCATCCTGTTGACTAACAACAGCTAGACTGCTGAGTAAACTCTTGTCGCAAAAGAGAATGCATGAGAGGAATCATTGGTGCCTTGGAAGACGTCGTTATCCCTGCCTCCGTTGAACAGTATAACTGCATCGTGCTTGCCTTAATCTCCATAGTAGTCCTTAGGTTCAAACTGAGATTAATGTCAGGGCCTCATAGTGCTAACAGTGCAAGTCTAGTTGGGCTTGATCACCCCCGTCCCCTTAGATCATTTCTGCTGTTGCCTACAAAACTTAAACCTCGGAGAAAACTATGGGGGGATTCAATGACAGTTTTCAAATATATGAAGTGTAGTTATAAAGGGGTTGGTGATATGCTATTCTCTGGCCATCCAGGTCGGGATAAAAATTAAGTGTTACATTGCAACAAGGCATATTTAGTTTGGATATTAGAAGGAATTTTTTTAACTAGGAGAGTAGTTTAGCACTGGGCCGGATTAGTCTCCAGGATTATAAAAGCAGCTGGAGGAGATGGTTGAGGGGAGGATGGTCCTGCCTTGAGGAGGAGATTAGACTGGAGGACCTGCTGGGCCTTCCCAGCTGGCGTGCTGTGACCACTGCTGCTTTCACTGCCCCCACCCCGCTCGCTGTTACATGCTCTCCTGTGCTTGCTCGCGTCACCTCTCACACCTCATCATCTCTTGTGGGGCTGGGACCATCTTTCAACATGTTCAGCTCATTGGGACCTCAGTTCTTTGTACATGTGGGCTAGTGTGTTGTTGTGCACCACGGGTAGATACCTGCAAGGAGTAAAGGCAGCTGGATCTGGTGCCAGGGTAGCAGATCCTTCTGAGCACTCTCGGGTGCTTGGTGCCGGTTAATAATTGGCTTCCTATCACGAGCATGCGTTGCAGTGTAATAGCCTTGGTTGGCTAGTGCAGAGTCCTAGTTTTGGCTCTGCTCTGCACAGTTCCTGTGCCCTTCAATACATCCTAGCTTGGGAAAAGCTCCCAAAAAAAGAGCTGGGCCTGGGGACCAAGGGCAGAGGAAGCAGCTGTGCATCGTAGGTGGACTTTGAGGTAGGAGCCTGGCACCAAGAGCAGCATTGCAAGTCCTTTTTCTTGGCACCTTCGTCTCCTCAAGGTGGTTCTTTGCCTCACTTTTCCTCTCTTCCCTCCTTCTCTTTCCTCTGCCATCCCTGACAGAACGGCTTTGAGCCTCTCTTTGTGTTTGAGATTGACAGTAACACCAATACCATTAAAAGGAGGCCGGGGACGCTCAAACAGGTGAAGCGCATGCCGTGTGT